GTATTTTTAGCTGATCCAAGTGATTTTGCACATGTTTCTTTATATTGAGTAGGTTGACACATGGCTTGTACTGATTTGGTAGAGCTCGAAATTTCACCCCCATTAGATGTCGAATCATCATTTTTTTTTGTAAACGTAACGGCAGCACCAACAACACAAGCAACTAGAAGAATTGAAGCAATTCCAGCAATTACTATTTTCTTTTTACCGGCCTCCGCCATTTTAAATTTTAATTTTTTTGAGATATTTTAATATAAAGAATGGATAGTTTTTTTTTTCTTCAATAATTCAAAGCAGAGCATATGGGGATATTTAACGAATTTTTGTGTTCCCCTGGGCTCTGCCACTATGCAAAAATTAAACTCGTAATTCATAAATATGGTATGTATTTATAATATAGAGATATATGAAATAAGAGAATTATCAGTTCATTCTGTTAAGTAATTTGTGGGAAATAATTTGTTTGTTTATTTGGTTAGGATTGAATTCAGGTTTACCAATACTTAATAGTTGGAATTTTTCAATTTTTTTTTATTAATTGTCATTTATTTACTCCATTAATTTACTTCTTTTTAACCTCTTTCTTTTTTTTTATATTATTTGTTGTTTATTTCTATCTAGTGACTATAGTATTTCGTTATTAAATGACAGTGCTTAAAATCATTATTTAGATTAAAGAAAATGTCAATCACAAGCTATATTATTTATTTATATCGCATATTATCACGTGTAATTTATAAATTGTATATATCATATATGACTTATAAATCACATATGTCTGATGCAACTTATCAATCACATTTGTTGGATGAGTCGAATTCAACTAGTGTGACTTATGAATCGTATTTAGCAAAATCTAACTAATAGTTATATTCATATATGTTTGATTTATACTAATTTTCGACTCTAAAAATACTTTAATACTTCTACTATTTAGATTTTCCTTTCTCCTCTTGAATGTAATTGGGCTATTCTACATTGCCCAATCTTTTGTAGGCCCAATTAAAGATATAAATGTTGAATGAATTCACAATAACTATACGTGATTTGAAGAATATTTCATTATCATACATCCCTAATATTATTACCTATACTTTCAAAACATTATACACGATTAATTAAGAGTTTTTATCACATATTAAGAAAAACACTTTAAGATACATATGTTTCTGTTACCAGATACATAAAAATAGAGAGAGAGAAAGGTGAGCGAGATAGGAAGAGAGGCAAGCGAAATTCGTTATGTATCTTAGCTACATGTGAATCATAATATATATACACTAGATACATATATCTTTGTGTATCTAAAATTCACACGTATCTTTAATATCAGATACATAGGAGAGTGTTAAAAGAGATAAAAGAGAGGCGCGCAAGATTTGATATATATTTCATATACATGTAAATCGATTTAGATACAATGTATATATAATAAATTACACATAATTTTGATTCATATACATGTATCTAAATATATCTGCATACACTAAAATTTGATAAGGTATATAATATTGTAAATTAGAATATATTTAAGTAATAAACTCCTAAACTAATATGGATGAATTTGTGTAAGTTCTACATTTATTAATGTGACACCTTAAAACATTTCGATACTTTATATATAAATTATAGTTTCTTTATTTAATAGTATACAAATAGAATTTCGACTTTCAATCAACGTAATTTCAAATCATGTCCGAACGGGTCCAAAAGATGTTGAAATAATACCTACTTTATCATGTGCATTTTAACCACATTTTGAAGATATAAAAAGAAAATAAGTCATCTTTTTCACAACATCCACGTGATACACATGACCACTCATTCTACCCCTCCTGTATCGGTAGGTCCTCTATCGCTGCCGTACGCGCGTGTCTACACTCGCTCACGACCTACTTATGTCGCCTCCGCCACTAGTCCTCCTCGTTCACTCCGCTTCTCTTTATCTCGCCGGAGAGATTACTTTTTCCCGCGAAAATTCACCATGCCTTCCGCCGGCTCAGCTGATTTCCCCGTCGATGGCGACGAGCTGAAATTCCCGTTGGAACTTGCCGATGAATCTGATTTTGATCGAATTGTATCATCCGATGGACTTATCACCATTTGCGGGTTCGGTTCTCTCCTCTCAGGTCAAAGTTCAACTATATATCATTTTTTTGATTTTGGAGAATATAACAGAATAGAAATTTATACTCTATTTTTATTGTGTACTTTTTAAATATCTTAATTTTTAATCCTTCCGTCCGAAAATACTTGCTATGTTTCCTTTATGGAGATTCAAACTGCATGAACTTTTGGCCAGTTTTAAGATTGAATTTGTTTTGACAGCATTGATATGAGAAAATTGCAATCTATAGTACTTTTTCGTATAATTGAATTGATCTAATCTATTTAAGCTTTGAAGATTAGTCAAATTGACTCTTGAGAACGGTAAAGTGAGGATTACTTTGGGAATTAATATAGTTCATGCTTAGTGAAATTAACTTAAGTGCAAAGCAAGCGAGTAGTGGTATAATTCTGTCATTTTGATGTTGTTTTGATCTTGTGTTGTTGTTGGTAGAACAGAGAGGAGTGCTCGGAGTACATTCCCGGATCTGATCAACTTCAGAGTGGCGAAATTGAGTGGATTTCGGAGAGTGTTTGCTCACGTGGCACCTATTTTCTTCGAGCGTGGAATAGCTAAACCTGAAACCAAGGTGCCTTACATTCACTAAAAATGCATATTTTAATATTGTTTGGTTTTCTAAGAAGGTGCAGAGAATAAAGGAAACAAAGCAAAAAAGTGGTTCTGCATGCTTGACTCTTGATATACTAATTGGATATTAGAACGATTGAAGGAAATTATGATTAAACGAAATTGCTCAATCACAATCTCTGTAAAGTTACTAACTTTTGTTGGCTTTAATGTAACTACTTATCAGTAGAAACTTACCGGCATTGGAAAGGTGAAACAGACTGGAATTCTAGAGGTCGTTTTAAGTCACCTTTTTTGGAATTGGCAAGGAGGATCATTCTTCGGTAAATTCAGAAGGAGAGAAAGATGAAAATGAGAGAATGGTATAAGTCTAGCAGAAACATGTGAAATTAGGAAAAGTTAGGTGATCTCTTGTCTATGTCATGGTGGATAGAGTTACCGACACTTGTATTGGAGAGAGGTATCAGGTGCCATGTGGATTTGTCGAGATACGTGCAAGTTGGTTCGATCTCTGTATTTATCAAAATTAAAAACGAAAGCATGGTCAACCCAACTCTCTGTTTAGATGAGAAGTGTCAGCTCCTGCTTGTCATTTATTGAAAATCTTTATAAACCTCTTTGAAATGAAAGAGTTAGATTAACTTGATTTTCAGTATTGTGCATTTAAGGTATCAGGAAAACCGCCATTGTGAATAAACTATTGCTGCCTTTTGAATTGCTCTCAAATATTTGTTTAGGACTGACTTCGATTGCGTGGAATGTTTCTCTATTTCTAGGAAATATCAAGCTTGAGCGTGGAGCCGTGTGAAGGGGAAACTCTTATAGTTACTATCTTTGAGATTCAGAGATCAGAGGTAACGTCTTACGAATTATCCATTTTAAGTTGGTCATTTAATAAAAATAATTGTCCATTTTAAGTTGAGATCTTGACATGATTACTTCTGATCTCTAACTTCTTCTCTGTAAAGGTCAGATTCCAGCATTTATTGAAAGAGAGCACGAGTTTCGGTTTTTAGCTGTAAGACCTTCATAATCCTTCCTTCTCTTGCCTTTCTCTAACTGTATAAAATTAAATGTAACTTCAATTCATATAACTAATATCAGAATTTTTTTCTGTGTTTAGGTAATCCCGGAAACGCTAAATGATTTGTTTTACGTCAATCCAGCTGTAAGCACCCTGAGACTGCCCAGCCCTTTTGTACCTCTGTTGAACCAATAATTTGTCTTACTGATCCATATTTGCATTACCTCTTAATGCAGGTTATTTGTGCCCGTTATAGTGATGAGGAGTATCTGAAAAATAGATGCAAAGGTAATTTTTCTATCACTTGGAAAGATAGTGAGTAATACAGTAAAACCTCATTATAACAATGTTTCACTATAACAGCCTGATTTTCTACCTATAACACTAGCAATAAGAAAATGAGAAAAACTTCAACCAAAAATGAAACAACTGATGATTCATTCTTTTGTTTGTCTTTGTATTTCTTTCTTAAGTTCATGTTGTTTCATGCATCATATGTTACCTTTCTGTGTGTATTGTTACTGTTTCATATCTTCTATTTTACCATTAGGTGATAAAGAAATCTTCTTCCAGCGGTATGGACGGTACAATATTGACAAGATATGGCGAGATGATATATTCCCTTGTCGTGTTTATCTCCGTCATTGGTCAGTTCCAGCGAGTACTTATTAGTGTAAACAATATTCATTTCCGAAACTTGTTTCCTCAAATCTCTTAGTAGAACATTGTGATTTTGTAGTGTCCTGGCAGCTCAAAATCTTGGTAATCTAGCCTACGACAACTTTCTAGATCATACCTTCCTTGGTGACCGTAGAACTACAATACGTGAGTACTTGTTAACAACTGGTTCTGGAATCATGGAAGAAGAGCCTCCAGAGTTGTTAAAACAACGATATGGCGGTTGAATCTGATGCTGGTCAAATGACATTGCACGATTTATAGTTATTCCATTAGGTGTCAAGCAACTTTGCTGACTAACTCCATATCAGGTAGTATATCAGAAACATTTGTGATTGGCATCACAAATAAACTGCATTGACTTGTAGTATGTATTGACAAACTTCTTCTCAATCAAAAGTGAGTGTTTTCGACACGAAAAGCGCGATTATACTAATAGGTCTATCAAAGTATATCATGTTGAATATGATGGAATTTCATATGCCTTTCTGAATGTACATTAGTTTGGTTTTGTCTAAGCACGCAACGAAGAATAGTCTTGTTTGGAAAATTGATGGCTTATAAGCTTTTGATGATATGAACTAACATCAACGTTCATCATTCTCATAACTCAAATACTCATTGATTACAGGATACACATGCAAAACACGTATTCATACACTAGTAATATAAATTTGAGGAAAAACCTCGATACAATATACGATATAGTACCCTAATGGTAGAAATGCTTTCTCACACCAAATCAACACAAGTTTTATTAGTTAACCAACCATAGTAGTATAACTAGACGCGCAAACAGAACAAAATTGACTGAGTGGTAGAGTCGTGGAAACCATACTAGACATATTCATACAAGAAACTAAAAGACACACTAATGGAAATACACTATTTTCACTTTTTGTTAACCCACGATAGGCGAATTTAAAATCTAAATCCAGCAGGTATTTGAACCTTAACTTTGAGTACGCAATTCAAGTCAAAATGAATAGTTCTCAAATTAGCTCAAATCCACACTGATAAAGTGCTAGTGTTCTTGCAAATTGACCCTCCATTTTCATATGGTTCAATTTTAATATTATAAGAAATTGATTCAAGAACATCCATTAAAGCATCTCCTTCAATGATTGTGTAATTGCATGTGTAGTTCTCTTTGTCAACTCCATCAATCCTTTGCTTCATATTCTTGAATTGACTACCTAAAAAGACACAACAATTATTATTACAAATATAGGTGAGAAAAGAATTAGAGACATAGCTAATATGTCCGATACTCGCTTTGGAGGTCCATGTAATGTATGAGGTCTCTGGTTGAAAAGGAAAGAATCTTATACATCCCATCACGATCCTGGTGGTTAACGTGTCTCTATTTTTTATGGAGAATGAAATTCTTTCTTTTGTTATTTTTTTAGTTTTTCAACTCATTTTTCACGCGAATTCAAGATCTTTTAAGTTGGTAAAATGCAAAATACTATGACTACACCAACTATTCATTTATGAAAATCGATACGAATTAACTTATATATATATGTATATATATTTATTTATTTTACCAATGTCCGAAGGTGATCAACTTGATAGTGCCAACACCACCATCACCATGGAGGATTTCAACATTCTTGATAGCGCTTTAAACAATTTTGCTGGTGGAATTGAGGAAATTGTGTTCGTTTCACAAGTGATAACACCCATTCTAGTTTTTTTCTTTTTCTTTTTTTGGTTTAGATCTTACTAATATAAGTTGTTGATGCAATACAAATTGCATGAACTTAAGCTTCATTTATAGTTATTTAACTGTATGTTCACATTACATCTCTAACATGAAAATCAAATTATTTAGTAGTTGAAGATTTGAATTCTTCTTCACTCATGTGATGTTTGACTATATATGGTTATAAACTGTACACAAGATGCATATAAACAGCCAACGACGAACCGGAAAGGTTATTAGACAAAACATGACACAATTTTAATATGATATGATCTTATATAGGAAGGTAGGAAGGCGAGGACTAAGATGGTTAGTAGCAGTATTCAATAATCATGTTGTTTCTTATATCAGAAATGACCACATTTTTTGCTACTAAATGTGAATCACAACTGCGTCTTTACACGGTTAAATTAGAAATATATTGCATACTGTCAAACAGGGAGAAGAAAAGGGTGTTCATTATTATATACATACATATATAGATAGAACTACATACAGTAGGATTCCATAAGTTCCAATTGGCCTAATAACTACTACAGATTTGGCAGCAGTATCTCTTTTCTTTCACAGAGCTACAACATTGCAGGTTACATAATATAATAGTTACTACATTGCAAATCCTCTTTTTCAAATTAGAAGTCGTCGTCTTCAAGGAAAGTCGATAGCAGAAGCCCTTGCACAAACTCACATTTCCGAGCCTTCTCTACTTGGTCTTCTTCAGATATTGGAGTTGGCTGAATATTTCTGTTCAACACAACACCAAGATTAAAAATGTCAGATATATGTGAACAGGAAATGGACTAAGTGGAAGTTTGAAGTCCACAAAAGCGCCATATAAGAACAAGTTTAAAGGATAAACCTGGATTTTCCCTATTAGACATATCATGTACTCACTTTGCTTTGTTCTGTCTTAGAATGAATGGCAGAGAGCTAAAGAGAGGAAGATTTATATATCTTGAGGTCTGAATGATATGTTATGTTTTGCCTATCGTGTTTTATGTCCTCTGTACTTTTTTGTATTTTTCTTTTAGTTGCTCTGATGTTCGTTAATAAAATCGAGGGTTCTTCCAAAAAGAGCCTCTCTACCCCATCGAGGTAGGGGTAAACCCACACCTACCCTCCCTAGACCCCACTTATGGAACTACACTGGGTTTGCTGGTTGGTGGTTGACAACTAAAGATGTGTATAATGTACCAAAATGTCTTTTGAATCTTGTGGTCTATAGAACATGCCGTTAAAAATGAATGGTAAGACATAACTGAAACAGTTCGATTTCAAATCCGACGAGTTATTGTCCTATTAATCTGCTAAGCATGCCACTCATCAATAATGCCTTGTCTAAACAATGTCAATTCTATTTAGTACACTATACAATGATGAAAACAGAATACTCGAGACTAATAACTTCTTCAAGTATTGGCAAGTTTCCAACAGGAGTATCTACAGTTACTGGAAAATGAGAACTACCACAGGTAATATGAAAAAGGATCATTACCATTCAAAGGGATATACTTTTTCCCCGAAGTACAAAATATGGCAGCTTAAAAATTAACTTCACATAAAGAAGTTAAATTATGTTCCAAATACGACAAGGAAAATAAGAACTTATGTGTAACTCGCCAAGCAATGAAACAGGCAATAAAACACTACGTAAACATTGAGAAAAAGAACCCAATGACTTGAGGACAAAGAAACAAAAGAAAGAAGCCGAACTAGGGTCGTTCATGTACTCTTAGGAGCACTAAGTCAGCTGGGACTCCATTCCCCCTTTTACCCCTACTTCCTCATCCACTTCCCACTTCCCAGCATCAAAGGCAATGATAAAAGGAGACATAATAGAAGTGTAACAAAATGCTGACATACCTGTCAGACAAGTTCTCAACAGTGCTTTCTTGTGTTGAGCATGCTGCTAAAGCTTCATCAACTGAAGACAGAGGTTGAACTTCAGAAGGTTCATCAACCGAAGCTGAGCTGCTAATGAATGAAGATAACAAGGGATCAGGATCTGCACTGGTGGAAGAAACCAAATGGGAGGATCCCCTGAGAATGGATTGTAGACTTCCTTCTCTCAGCTCTTTTCTTATAATAGAAAGAGTTGAATTAGGTCCACCCCTTCGAAATCGTCTCTTGCGCTGAACCTGTTACACAGTCAATGAAATATAATAACTATATGGAGTCTAGCACAAAAAACAGACAGAAGAGAGATGCTGTATAGTTCTAGCAAGAGCTTGTGAACACAGAAAAGGCTTCATATTCAAATCCCAGTTAAGCAAACAAAGAAAAAGCACCAGAAGGTTACCTTCAGTATATTTCCATGTTGCTGTGTAATATGGCCAACCAAATTTGTCCCGACCCTTTTAGCACAAACGGGGCATATCTGCATGTACATATGTGTTGTCTAAGTCAACAGATAACACAGACACATAAACCAGATATTTTCACCGACATTTAATAGGAGAAGTGCCACAGGATCACTTTGGGTCATGTTTACAGCATCCTTTGCACTAGCTACATATGCAACTCAGGCCTGAAGCATTTATATATAATAATGTCTGTAAATATATATCGAGAGACAAAATATCGATCATACTTGTGATGATCTTTTTCTATTTGCACCTAAGAAGTCGGAAACAATTGCCATGGAAGGAATCAAGGATAAGTCGTGTTGGGACATGGGCAAAGTTAAGATAATTGCTCTCAATACCCTGAATGATGTGGCTAGCTTTTCATTATCAGATTGCTTCCTACTCCCCATATTTTCCTGTTTATATTTCTATTTCGTTTGAGCAGTAGAGTTCTAACACCAGAGTGTTACCACAAACATAAAGTGAGATTATAGCTCATAAGATAAGGAAAACAAACTTAATATTCCTGTGTACATTTTCTAGCAAAGCTGGCCGAAGCACCAACTCAGGTATTACTTCTTAAATCTATTGGAATGAGAAAGTGACTATTAAGTCACAGTTGACTTTCTTTCTTTTAATATGGTATGCCCACCCCCTGCTCAAGAGTCGATACTCAATAGTGGTCCTTTCCCACTTTACTCCCTTGGTAACATGAATACTCAACCTTAGGGTAGGAGGTGGGAGGATCCTCTCCACTAGGCTAAAGACCTCCATTTTAAACCTTTCCTATCCTTCACTATGGCCATGAATTAGAGAACTCCAAAAATGAGCCAAAGCACTCGAGAGCCTAAACATTTCCTTTTTCCAATATGAGGCAGATTACAGGCTTTCAAAGGAGGAAAAGAAAAGGTGGGAGGTTGCTGGTATCTGCTGCCGCTGGATTAGTCGAGTTACCGACCTCCACCATTGGATAACCAGAAAAAAGAACTGAGACTATAAACAGTTCTAGGAATATTAAACATTGACTGAGATATTAATTGCAACAGCCAGAGGAGGGGGGAACCTACAATGATGTAAGAATGAAGCATTGATGCACCTAATGCTCGAATAAAGCATATACAGCTTAATTCCCTCCACAATCAATATACAAGGCAACAGAACAAGAAGCTATCTTCTTCTTCTTCTTTTCCTTTACAGAAGTAAGAGAAATAAAAAACTACTATCCTGAAGCTTTGAATAGTGAAATTCAAAGCCTCTACTATATACACACTACATTGAAAAGGATAAGCAGAAATGCAGCATAGAAGTTAGAAGATTAATGAAGTCCAATACTTTAACATTTTCCTACATATAAGACAGTCTAGGGAGTAAAAAACTTCTCAGACCAGCCAATGAATTCAGCTACGTCTCAATGCCAATATGATTGCTCGATTAAAAGGAGATAAAGAAGAAATAAGTAAAGAGCTGTCCGTATATTATACCCCATTCTTAGCCTCAATAGCATGCTCTTCATCAATATGACAGCAAAGGCCAACAACATCAAAATCCTCGCCACAAAAAGGGCACAGGAACTCCGGCCTTGACTCCTCTTCACCCTCATACTCTTCTATGATATTATAGAAGTCTGCAAAATACAACCCAATTTCAATAACGAAAACCATAGATAATCCTTTGTACAATTCAAACAAACCACAAAGAGAAAACACAAAACCAAGCAGTACAAATGTAATTCCTTTGTCTTTTTTCTTTTTAATCGGATAACATATTGTATATCACCTCAAATCACATAATATCCTTCTGTCACAAGAAAGATGGCAGCTTTAATGTTATTTGGGAGCAAACTAGTACTATTATCGTCTTGAACATCTTAAAGATACTTATAGAAAACTATGAATTAAATTAAATCAACAATTAATACCCAATCCACCAAAAATAATACACATAGACCTCAAACTCTGAACCAGCTGTTCGGGCAAGCGAAAAAGGGAAGTAAATAATATATTAACTGAACTCCATTCGAAACAAAAACCCAGAAATGCAACTGTGAAGTCTCCTCTTCGATTCATTCATTTTTCCAGCAAAACATAATTTAATTTTTTTCATGTTAAATAATCTTTAAGCATATTTACAATAAACTGTTAAATTCTAATTTAGCGGGAGTAAGGACGGCATACACACTACCATCCCTAAACCCCACTTGTGATCTTACACAAGGTATGCCGTTGCTGTTTGTTGTTCATTCCAACTAATTCAAACTGACAATGATATTCTTGGACCTCATACTCTACCCCCTTTATTTTTTCAAGGAAAGAACACTGAGTAACCCAAAAGATAAGAAAATACTAAACCCTAACACCATATACTAAAACCCAGGATTGTAAATGTCAAGTTTTCCTTTTTTTTCCCCAGAAAATGTAAGTTCCCATTCACGTTCTTTCATTGTCTCAACCTCAACTCACTAACTAATTCCTCCTTCCAATCCCCCCCAACCCCACAAAAAATTACTATTATCCATTTCTATCCAGTATATACACATATTATCTAAAAGATTAGATAAAATAATCCCTCACACTAGCCCAACGGGCATCCTTAGTAGCTCAGTTGCTAAACCCCTAACAACATAAACTAAAACCCAGAATTCCAAATGTAAAGTTCCTTTTTTTCCCCAGAAATGTAAAGTTTCGCCATACATTCCTTCATTTTCTTAACCTCAACGCACAAACTAATTCTTCCTTGCATTCCCCCCCCCCTCCTCCCACACACACTAAAAAAGACTTTCTATGTTCAAATCCTATCTACACATACATTATCTTAAACATATAAGACAAATTGACCCTCACAATAGCACGACGGTCAACCTTAGTAGCTCAGTTAATAAAAATCCAAACTTTCACCTTATCAATGAGTGTTCGATTCTCCACTTAATAATTTCCCCTTCCCCTAATCCACCATCCTCCACCCCCAAAAATTAAAAATCAACCAAACTGAAAATGGAAAGTTAAGTGAGATAACACTAACCTGATCGAGATTGGTGACGTCGTGAAGAAGTAGTAAGACGAATCCACGAATCAGAATCCATCAAATTATCCCAAATTTTTTTTTCCAACAAAATTAAAGCTTAAATCTTTAGAAAATGTTCAAGAAATTGCATTCCCAAATACTAAAATTTCTCAAAGATCAAAACTTTATTATAAATTTTTGAAAACCCTAATGAGAAATTTGGAAATTCTTCGCGAAGTTTCGTGGAAATGGGAGGAGAAAATTAGCAGAAAGAGCCTCCAAATTATCACCGGTAACAAGTGTTGGAAATTTATATAGAATTTTAACTTACTAATTAAGGCTTGAATTTGAGATTTAATTACGAAATAACCATCACACCACTTGACATGACATAATTGTGTCAATTTGACTCATCATGATGTGTATATTTTGTTGGAAAATATGGAACCTTGGTGAGCAAGTTTGGTTAATATGGAATTTAAAAGAAAATCAAAAATTTTGTTGGGTCGAATTCAAGATAGGTTAAGTATGTCGAAATACTTTTAAATCGTATAATTTTAAATATGTATGTTGAAAGTTCGAATAAACGAATTGTTAAAAAGAAAAAGTCATACTTTCTTAAAAGACGTATAAAGAAAAGTAGATCGAATAACTTGAGATGAAAGAAATACTTGTTAAGTATCTACTTTGAAGTACGCTTTCTTTCTAGGAGATTTCTTTTTTGAAATTCATGAATAAAGATGATATGATAGGCTTAACATATAGGTTTGACAAAATCTAATATTTTGACCAAAATCATGTATATGTATTAGAATTCAACTTTTTTTACGATTGAGTCGTGTTAGATTGACAATAATCACTAATATTTGTATTATGATATAATGTCTATTTTACATCTCTTAGGTATAACTCTTTCTTAAATTCTATACAAATATAAAATATTTTATATATTAAACTATCTTTTTTTTCCACGTTGTGCGAGGTCATATTTTCATCTAATATAATATTCACTATTAAGTTTGATATGGTAATGAAATACATGTGTTAGTATAAGAACAATTGATCATTAAAAAAATCCATCATTGTTTTCCTTAGAAGCAAATCATAATTATATGTTTATGTACCAATAATTTATTAGCTCGTTAAAAGAATCAAAATGAACTTTCAAGTTGAAATCCAAATATTACTATTTACAATTGAAATTTCATTTTCTTAATATTTTAATTTTGTTTTCTATGAAAGGAACGCGCGTTCATAAAAGTAAATATGTATAATGTAACACAAATTAAAATGCAATCTCCACATTGATTATTACCAACATAATAACACATATATGATATAATCACATAAACGAACTAAAAAGAACAATAATATATATTGATAGAGCTTCGACTTAAAGTAAAATATAACAAATAGTTCAAGAGAAGGAAGAAAATCATGACTATTAGATACAATGAATCAAATTATGCATAGTAATTCAATATCTACAACTTGGATGCAAAAACTAATCTAATAAAAATAATAACTGTGACATTAACAAACAATTATATAATTAGTCTAATCTCATGAGTGAAGATATACACAGATTTTTCCCTATTTTTAAGAAGTTTAAGAGGTTGTTTCAATCGACTTTGGTGGATTTTTAAAAATAAGTATATAAGTAAACTTTGGAACCTATTTATTCATTAAAATAAGGAACTAACAAGTAACAAGTGTGCTCTCTTAATCCCTTCAAGCAACACTAAAAAATTATGAAACATTTTGGGATTTATCATATAGTTATATTACAATTATATAAAGAAACATGACACAAAGCTCTCGTAGCTCAGTTGGTTAGAGCACCCGTTTAGTAAGCGGGAGGTCTTGAGTTCAACTCTCAACGAGAGCATTTTTTTTCATCCTATCATCATTAGTTCGATAGTCAAAACACGAATTTTTATTTTTTTGAAAATTATCTAAATGGTATTAAAAGTCACAATAATTGACAATTTAATTTAAGTTATATGAAAAAATTTTAAAAAATAAAATACTTAAAATCGTACACATTTTAATGACGGAAGTTGATAATTGTATTGCATGGTAATGGTAGCTAAAGGTGGCGGTTGATAATAGCGATTGTTGTTAAACGTATGTGATTGATAATGATGATTGATGATTACAATAGGCTATTGATAGGAGCCTTTGTAGTCCGATTTGTTTCAAATATTAATCAAAATAATTAAAATTTAAATATTTATCAACTGCGAATAAATAAGCCCTGCCCGCTGCCATAAATTAGACAGAAGGTGAAATCTAGATTTAACTACTTTAATCTTTCACATTTATCAACTAGTAAATAGTAATTAAATAGTATTAATTAGCTAAAGAATAATCATGTTGTCATTAACTTATAGTTATTATCAAAACTTATATTTTACATAAATTTATTTTCCATGTTTATACCAATCTATTTTCGAAACTTGAATGCCTATCCATAAACTAATCGGAATATCCAAATACTAAGAATAAAAATGTTATTTTATTAAAGTTTTATAACTATAAATATAAATTTTTTGTATTGTATGAAACACCATAAATAAGAGTTTAGAATATTTACTTACCTTACTTAGTTAAATTGAAGATTATTAATTAAAAGTATATACCAATACTTCCTCCATCTTAGTTTATACACTTTTCTGATCTTGATAATCAAATTCTATCTTTGATTGTAAATTTTTTATATAGTTTTAACTATTTTGAATTATCAATTACTTCACAAACGTACAAATTTATCTCAAAAATATTGAAGATTCAATACACATATTTTCAGATAAACTTAAACAGTCATACCTCTAAAAAAAATAAAAAATATCACATAAATTGAGATGTAGAGAATAACTTGTACTACTAAAAAAATACAATTATTATATAGTAAAAATATATATATATCGAAAAGGTATTAAAATAAAATAAAACTAGACATTAAGGTACTATTTGATATATGGAATAAGGTGGAATTAGTAGAATTAAATTCATACCATATTTGATTGACGAACTATTAAATATTACCTTAAAACTTAACATATTGTAAATTAATCAATGAATAGGAAGGCATAATACATAAATATACTCTGTAATATAGCCTCAGTTTTACATTTATGTCCACCAATTTTGAATGTACATAAATAGATATTTAAATTTGTATAAAATTAAATAAATAAATATACACACGAGTCCTACCTGTCACAATGTACATAGCACACAAATCTCCATGTAGGATGTTATATAGAACGTTTGTGTTGATTTATTTAATTTTATACTAATTTAAATATCTATTTATGTACACTCAAAATTAAAGGGTGTTAAATATGAAATTAAATTGAATTAAAAAATATATTTATATATTTTGTCATTAGAATATATTTTATTAATCCGAAAAAAGTGAGTTCTACTAACAGTAAACCTCTTAGAACTTTTCAACTAATTTTAAAATCCGTAAAAGTTTATTTAAAAATATTATAATAAAACCCTAAATAACATCTAACTCCTAAAATAGAAGAAACTAAAAAAATAAGTTGTATAAACAATGATATAATTAATACACATTACATAAATCACAGATATCGGGTACAAACCCTAATGATGTAATACTTTGATTCGGAGAAAAAAACTATATTTTTCCGCACGCGAATTCAAATTTAGTCGAACACGAACAATATTTAAATTTAATCCATGCACCAAAAGAAAGTTATTTTTTTGCTCATCATGTATTATATATTTCTATTTGTTTCTTGATAATTAATAATTGAAGAAGAAAGAATCTGATGTCTACTTCCGGTGCATGTATGAACTCCGGCGAGTTTCCGACGTTCCGGTTGCTAGTGGTGGATGATGATACGTTTTATTTAAATAACTTGGAACAAACACTTAAGAAGTGTCAATATGAAGGTATTCAATATTCGCTCAATTATTTTAATGCAATACTTTTATTAAGTTCAATTTTAATATTTTATTTTTTTTTGAATTTTGAGGGTTTTTGGGAGAAATATGTCAGTTTAGACAGAGTTAAGATTTGAAATTTATGAGTTTTGACGTTAGAACGTTAACTATTTTAAGTGTTAATTACTTCGTCTTAATTTAGTATGTGTATATATTTAATGGAGTTATTTAACAGAAATACGTTGTTTGAACAAAAGTTATAAGGTCAGAGCTAGGGCTTCTAGCTCCCGCACCTAGTATAAGCAATTGAAGAGCAAGAAATGTCAAACTAGTAAATTGTAGGATGTATTGTACAATGATAATGTATTCAGTGTAATCACATAGTGGAGTTTGGTGAAGGTAGAGTGTACGTAGACCTTACTCTTACCTTTGGAGGTAAACATGTTGTTTCTAGTAACACTCGACTCAATGGAAAACATATCAAGTAGGATTCGTTGTACAGTAATAACATATGTACTGTAATCACACAAGTGAAGTCTGGTAAGGTAGAGTGTGCGTAGACCTTACTCTTGCCTTGGGAGGTAGAGAGGTTGTTTATGGTAACACTCGATTCAAGTGGAGTCTGGTAAGGTAGAGTGTACGTAGATCTTATTTTTACCTTGAGAGGTAGAGAGATTGTGTTTGGTAACACTCGACTCAAGGAAAAGCATATCAAGTAGGATTTATTTGAAATTAACCAATTTTAGGCTAGTTGTAGATCGTGCAACCTAATGCACTTTTTCATGGTTCGAGACCGATAATATGAGGAAGCTCACTAGAAAGAAGTTTTACCATAAAAAAAAGTATCCATTTTGTTCTATTTTATGTGGTGCTGTTACTATTGTGAGAGTTAAAAGAGTTTCTTCTTTTGATCAATTTGGTTTTCGTATATGTTTCAAACTTATAATATTTTTTATATAGTATCTAAATATGTAAATTTTGTTTCAGAAACTTGAAGTTCTATCTCTGAATCTGATATTAAGTAGACTTGGTCCTCTTATTCTGAACCTCGCGAGTCGTGACATAAAATGGAACGGAGTAGAAGTTCTTTAGGTGATTTCGAAAATGGATATGCAGAGATTGATCCTGAACTGAACTTTTGTTTTACATACTTCTTTTCTTGTCCTCACAATTGGTTTCAATGTAATGGTTTCTTCTAGTCACCACGTGTAATCGAGCAGAGGATGCATTGTCATTGCTGCGCGATAACAAAAACAACTTTCACTTGGTTATTATAGATGTCCATATCCCAGACATGGATGGTTTTGAACTTCTTAAGCATATTGTTCTGGAGATGAACCTGCCTGTTGTAAGTGAGTATCCTGCTTCATGTAATACAAACTAACGTTCGTTCCTAAGTTTAGAAATGCTTATTTTTTGTACTATTTGTGTTTGGATAGTGATGTCTGCAGATGATAGTCGAAGTGTAGCTATGAAATGTGTGATTGACGGTGCACATTATTGTCTTATCAAACCGGTGAGCATGGAGTCACTACAGAACATTTGGCAACACATTGTTCGACAAAATAAGGACGAGTGGAAGTGCAAGATTTTGGATCAATCAGGAGATGTGGAACAACCGAAAGAAGTTGAGTATTCGTGTGTAACTAATGAAGTGAGGTTGAAAAGCTCAAAGAAGAAAAGGGCAGAGGGATATGAAATGGAAGAAAGGAGTGATACAACCACATTGAAGAAGGCACGTACGACTTGGTCAGCAGAACTTCATAGAAAGTTTTTAGAAGCTGTCGACTTTTATGGAATCAACAGTATGAACCACTTCACCTTTCTTTTGGATATTTTTACAAAAACTTGACTTTATTCACGTAACTGATCTATGTATGTTTTTCCGCTTGTCTGGTTATCTTGCATCAGAAGTTCCATAATAATCATACACTATACCCCTGATGTGTAGTCTTGTTTTCATGTTTTCTGTTCCGTTTTGCATTTACATGATCTCGTGCTCAGAATTGGTTTCCAGATTTGTTTAGTTAGTTTCTATAGCGAGAATGATAGAATGAGCTCTTACCAGCTGAGTTATCGTTATAACCAAGTTTCCGTCTTGTCTTATGTCTTCTCTCTTCTTCCTGATTTTGTTGGTAATGTGTTTGGATTAGAGACCTCATTTGAGTAGTGTGATTCCTCATCAACGCAGAGCTTGTCCGTACCTGAATCCCATGCTTCTGTCTCTTTGTTTGTTACGATACTAGAAATGATGGATCTGTCAAAAACATGTCTACTATACAATTTATTATCTTCTCTGTATTCCTTATTGTCTTAACTCTATCTACACATACAGAGGTAGTTCCCAAGAAAATTCTGGAACGGATGAATGTTGCGGGGCTAAAAAGAGAACAAGTTGCTAGCCATCTCCAGGTATATTTTCCCCATTTCAAGAATGTAGTACGCCTATATATCATGTTTACGAAACCTTTTTTTGGTGAACGATTTCATGTATCTTGCAACATGTAGTCAGTCGAGATGTCCCTGACATCTTCACTAGTTAGTAGGTCGAAACAATGGTGAAAATAACTAGAATATAACACAATGAAACCAAATGATCCATATAGGTGACACTGGTTAGTTGCTTGATCGATTGATTGAGCACTTGTTAGAGGCGTAGTCGATTGATTGCTTGAAATACTCATGTAGTGGCAACCATTTTCTGCAGAAACACAGACTGATTCAACGGAAGAATCAGAGTGAACAGAATAATGCTTGCATGGGAGATTCGGAAGCAACCATTGGGACAATGTCTAATCGTTTTCAACCTCTTGCTCCTATTAGTCAATTTCCCGCTCAAAATCTTGCCATATGGGGTAGGCCTGCAACGAATTCTCCGATGTTTGTTCCATTAGCAGACCAGAGAAACCATTTTAGCTTTGAAAATTCCATGTTGCGATATCAAGGTCAGCAACAGATGAACAATCGAAATGAGCAAACTAACTTGCTTTATGGAATCCCAACAGCTGTGGAACAAAATCCGTCCTACTTTGGTATGAATATGCCAGTAGGACGGATTTCTCAACCACAGTTACAAGCTCATAATATGCTAAGAGAATCCAACAAGTTCCTATCTCAGAATGGTCTCGTTCACAATCCACGAGATAGTATGTACAATCAGTTTCCTCGAGCATCATCTTCAGCAATAGACTGCTCTTTGAATCAAAACATATCGTTTGCAGGAAGCACCTTTCCTATGAGTGGTAATTCAGCAACATCAACAACCAAGGAAGATGTTAACTCTGATGATATTTTCAACGAGCTGTATCAGGAAAATGTTGGATCAACCCTGGATACGTCTTATCATTCTAGTATACACCACGGAATCTGGTCAATGGAGCAGAGTGGACAGAATGTAAATAGTAATACTCTCATCGCAGAAGCAGTTCTCTGTAGCGGGCAAGAAATTGGACATGTTAATCCTGTACCTCGTCCATATGTTAACGCTGAAAGATATCCCAGTTCAAGCTATCAGAGTGCCACTTTTCCTGAGCCATCTGATCAGGACCTCATGAGCGCCATGCTCGAGCAGGTTGGTCTTAATTTGCTATCTTTACATCGCTTCATTACTAGTTCCTATGTTATCTCGAAGTTATAGACAACTTCTTGTACTCTTATTTTTCCATTGTATCTGCTTTGATACGTTTTTCCTTGAATCGAGAGTCTATCAGAAACAACTTGATTACCTTCCAAGGCAAAGCTAAGGTTTGCATATGCTCTACCTTCCTCAGGGGATTACACTGAGTATGTTATTGTTATTTTGGTACTCTTATCTATTTGGTACTATTATAAGACTTGTCTAAGATGATGTTTAGTGGTGCAATATGGTCAATGAGGATTCATATAATTGTCCCCGACTTGCTTGAGCTTATAACTCTCATGTTTTACTAATTCGGATTAACTTTTTTGTACCAGCAACAACAAGAAAGTGATGAACCGGTTGCATACGCTCAGTTTTGTGATGACAATGAGGATGCATTAGGAAATTTTCCAACGTAAGATGTGAACAGAACTCCGTTTTTCGTTCACTGAAGCTAATTTTCAGCTGTGAAGCTGGTAATTAGCTTCAGTGAACCAATGAAACTCCCTTTTTCATTCAGTGAAGCTAATTTTTAGACGTTGGATTTTGGTTTTGAGCAAATATTTGCACTCTAAACTAGATTAGTTTTGATTTTTTTTTCTCATTTCTGGATTGATTTTAGTGTTCAGAATTGAATTTAGAATTTCCTCAGTTTATTATTGAGCTTCGTGAGTTCAATTGAAATCATTACTTTTATATCTCAAAAGAAAATAATAATATATTTTCATAGTTACGGATTGTTACAACACATAATAACATTTGATATTTAAATATGGTTAGTGAAAACGATAATCTCGTTTTCTCTTTTTCTAAACAATAATAAGAAAATTATATTCACAAAATAATCAATCATGAAAAAGAATATGCTTCTACTGTTGCTTGCTTAACCACGTGATGAATACATCCAACAAAAATGAGACAAATTTTACTATATGATTCACATGTATTGGTCTGTTGTCTGATAATATAATATTAATAATAATACATAGTAAAATATATCTAAAATTTATTATTTTTTTCACAAAGCTTAATATCTTAATTATTAAATGTTCAATTCCTTGTCCCAACACATTGATCAAATGACTTGTGTACACTACTAATTCCGAGAAAGATAGTTCAATATACAAAGCATTCGACTCACATACAAACTATCTAATACAAATATTAATAATTGCTTCCACAACTCAAGACACGTTATAAACTTAACTTAAAATAAATTCAATTGAGATTAAACTTGCAACACAATCATCAAGTCTACATTCTTATGAGCTCTCAAAATGATTTTGCTCTTTTTCTTATCATTCTAGATTCTACTCTTACACCTATCCCCCCCTCTTACTCTACCAACCCAAAAAAAGGTACAACATTATCTTCCTCTGCTAAGCATAAACAGAACCACATGAAAGAGCCATCAACAAGAATGCTGCTTGTTCTTCTTCACCTAACTTCCTTCTGTGTGTAGAGTTTGATCTTGGTCTTTGCAAACCAACTTCTCGATCAAAATGCAGCAATCGTTTCTTATATGGAATGCATTCGTTCTTCACTATTACATTACTCATACTTTCTCCACTGCTGCTTGTACTGCTACTGCTATTGCTACTCTGGTTCTGTTGATGATGATTAACAACGCTCTTAGACGAAGATTTCTTTGATTTCTTGTCGTCTTTGTTCAATCCCAAAAGAGCTCTTCTCTTCTTCCTGCTCCTTATTCCACATGCATTACACAATGACTGCATTCGCCATCATGATCAAATTATTAGATTCAAGTTCTTCCGTAAAATCATAGACAGCCTATGATAAAACACGTCATAACTCACAAGTAAAAAGATCAACCTAACACATTTACAAGCCGAGTTGAGACTATAGACCAAGTGGATCAACACTAGCCACTAGATACTATATCCAAACCACCACCATCAAACTCGTGGCTTCTTCATAGGTTCAATTATGTATATTTTAAATCTTAGTTAAGCCACTAAGACCAAACCCTATTGCTCAAACTCTTCAAAAAGACACTAAGTACATGTTCGATCATCCAAGAGCAATGCATTTTTAGGTGTCAGTGAGGTAACATTTCGGAGAGTCTAAGCAACGTATCCAAAACAACAAGCACAAAACAACTATCCACAATAAGTAATTTTGATTGACCATGCCACAATTATCTTGACACAATTCCACAATAAGTAATCCTTCTATATATACAACTTTCAACTAAATATCGACAATAATCATTGTTTAACTATTCATATAACAATTATACAAGTCAAAACAACATTTCAAGCTCAATCAAACACTATCATATAAGATGAAACAAACCAAACTAGGCGATCGAAATTGATCAGGTAAATAGACCAAATTACTGACCTTAGGTCCAGCAGGTCCACCTCTCCACAGAGGAGTTTTTGTAGTTCCACAATCAACACAAGTTTTTTGGTTAGTCTCTGATGTAACCCTTTCTGGGGTTTGATTTTGCCCAATCATCTCACCAGTTTCTTGAACCTAAAAATACCATAGAGAACAAATTCATATCAAACACTAATCAACAAATAAAAGGGATAAATTACAATCAAATGGAAAAATAGCTCACTTTGTCACTTGTATCCACCATTGCATTCACCACTTCTCAACAATCACAGCTCAAATCTACTAAACCCAAATGATAGAACGGAAAAAACAGCTGAATGAAGAACGCTTATCCCCAAATTAGCAGGAAAAAAACGAAAATCGAAGAAAACAACACCTTGATTAACCACTGTTCAACGATCACAACTCACAACCAAGTGTTTTTTACTAGAAACTAGGCACAACCCAGATGATAAAGTGAAAAAAAACAGCTGAATAAAGAACGTTTATCCCCAAATCAGCAGAAAAAACAGAGGAACTCCTTCTACATCAGCTAAAACTCAAGCAAAATGAAGAAAAAAACACCTTGATCAACCAATCTACTCAACGATCACAACTCACAAACAAGATTTTTACACCAAAAACCAAGCACGACCAAGATGACAAAACAGCAAAAACCAGTAAAATAAACACTTTTTATCCCCAAATTAACAGAAAAAACCCAGAGAAACTCCTTCTACACCAGCTAAAACGCAAGTAAAATGAAGAAAAAAACACCTTGATCAACCACTGCTCAATGATCACAACTCACAAACAAGTTTTTTTGCACCAAAAACTGAGCACGACCCAGATGACAAAACAGCAAAAACTAGCGGAATAAACACTTTTTACCCCCAAATTAGCAGAAAAAAATCATAAAAACTACCTCCACCTCAACAAACAAGCTCAACTTCAATACTCAAAATGAACAATAATACTCAATAAACTGAAGTTCAGCTTCATAAAAACTGAAACTAAGAGGATATAGATTAACCGACATGAAAAAAAAACAGAGGCTGCGAGAATGATATAGAAGATAATGATGAACGGACAAAAATGAAAAAGAGTCTGTAGCCGAAAAAAATATAAAATTTGAGGGGTTTATAAGGAAACTGAGTACGGAAAAACCCTAGAAGATCGGCAGAGGAAAAGACTAAAATACCCTTTTATGAAAATTTTGATTTAATACTCACTCTTACCCGCCAAAAAAGATAATTGAGTTTTAATTGGAAACGGCGCCATTTAAATTTTGATATTTGCCGCTCAACTCCAAACTAGGATTTTTCCCACCAGTTCGGTATTCGTTTTGGAGTCGAATAAATTTAATTCGTATAAAATAAATATATTCGTATTTAAAATGTTTGATTAAGAATTACTATAAAATAGCTATGTTTAAAGATCAATATAAATCAGTGAAAATCAAATTACGAGATTAAGCAGGAATGTATTGCCCCAAACATTAAAAGTATGATATTTGATATCTATTTATAGTTTACGAGATTAAATTTTATAAATTTAAATGTCCATCTCATTCTATAATATTTATCAAAATGATTGAAACTCATTTTTAAATTCAATAACTCGATTATAAAAAAAAAAACTAAGCAGCTAGTCTTTCAATATTAATTAGAAAGATCTCATATTCAATTTAAAAAAAAGCTTGGGGGTAGGTAGAAATAAAATCAAATTAAAAAGTGTAGTTAGTTTCCAAAATTTATGCAAACATGTAGTCAACACACCTAATTTGTTATGTTTGTCTATTAGTACTAGTGCTATTACAAGCACCTTAAATTGAGAATATTCTAGCCAACTCTTAATGGACCTTTTTGTAAGGTTGGTGTCCTCCAAATTAATATAAAGTAATATTATTTAATTTATTTCATACCTTTTAAAACATCAATAAGATCTTGGCCTAATTTTATTGTTCTAGTTTTACAACTTGTATGACTATCTGATTAAGTCATTAACGTCTCTTAAACTATAATCGAAATCTCAAAGATATATCTTAACTAATATAAGATTTAATTATGATTGAACTCTTTTTTTGGTAATTTCTTACACTTTTTAATTTACGTGACATCCGAACATCTCTCACGCGTCTTAACTATGTGATAAGTCAAAAAGGTGTTCGAAATTTGGAAAAATTATAATAATAATTATAAATCGTTAGTTTAGTTAAATTATGTTTCTGAACTTTCGATTATATTCTAAAAAATACTTATGCCTTATTCTAATGATCATGAATAAGTTATAATAGCACGTAATCGTGCTTTAAAATTTAGTCATAGATATTCACTTAAATCAAAGTAAAAAACTTATTATCATGCATTTTGAATAAATTAACACGCACACTTTATGTTTCAAATATTGCATAATTAGATAAATTAAACGTAATTAGATGTAAACGTAAATACAAATTTATAACTTTTGTGGTATCTATCTAAAAAAATATTTTTTTTTTAAAAAAAAAGGAAAAGTAAAAAAAAAAGTGTCTACTTAAAAGTAAAAAGGAAAGGTGTATACAAAAAATGTCAACTATGTGGTACTTGAAATAAACAGGTTAGGAAAGAACAAAATAAACTAAATAATTAATGGAAAATAACTTTTTTATGATTTGTTAGACTTACCCATTTATCATAATTTTATAATCATAATTTTATACGCAATAACATATTTAGTATATTCTCATATGTACGATTTGAAAAAATAAAATATATATAAATTTTATCTACATCTTTTAATATATTAAAATATATAAAAATTACTTTTGATATACACGTATATTCTAAGTAAATATAATGCAACGTTTTAATTAAATTTATTATAAATATGAGTTTGTCTCAACTTATTTGGGACAGAAACATTTATATACACACATTATTAATAAAGGTGTGGCACTCATAAATGAGAATCCAAAGATGATAAAGGCCCCCAAAATTGCTATGTATAATTATGAGAAGGAAAAACAACTCACTTTTTGATTCTATTTTTGCCAAGGGCAAAGAAAAGAGAGACCAAATTTTGTGGTGGGACAATA